TAGATTTAGATGGGTCATTTGTGCTGTTCTATAAGAGAATTCTGGCTCTTGTCCTGAGCCTGCCTTGTTTCTACCCTTTGTGAAAAACGTGGAGGCTTTTTTCTTTAGAGGGACTTCCAAATTTTTTGACAGTTCTTCGCTATCAGTTTTACTTGTTCCTAGCTCTTTCATTAATGCAGTTACTGTGTAATCATTGACATTTTCCTCCATTATTTGATTTCTTGGATTCCCCTTATCTTTTATATGAATTAATTATATTAATGTAAATGTAAATGAATTACCGTTTGTCCTGCATAATACTGACCATGTAACTGATCAAAGTGCAGAACATTTCTCAGTACTATACTGGCAAAGTAAAGCAGATTTAAGTTACTCTTTTGAAACCATGATTAAGTTTTAAGTGGTGTTGCATCATTGCTCTTCACACAAGCTGGGGATTCTTCTGTTTTGTTGTCTTCTGTTTGTTTGTTTGTTTTTAACATAACAAATACTGCTAGTGTGCTAGAGAGCTCCTAAATGAAAACTCTTCCCCTACCTGGAAATCCCTTTGGAACACATTATGTTTATACTTTGTTTGTTTGTTTGATATGTGTTCTTTTCTTTGTAAGCTATAGTCCTGCATTATAACGAGACAACCTCACTGAAGGAGCCCCTGTCTAGTTTGCTTTTCAGCATTTCACTATGGTTTCTGCCCTTTCTGAAATTTGAAACGTTGTTCCCATCTCTTCCGTGGGACTCTTCCCATTAATGATTTGTCTAATTACTTTTTCAGCTTATTTGCTTTCTGAGCATCAGTCAGAGAGGGTAGTATGATAAAGGAAAGACAACATACAGAGACATGAACTTTCTTTTCTTTTCTTTTTTTTTTTTCCCTTACTGTAAAGTTGTCTACTGTAGCAAAGATCAGACCCCTAACTGTCTTGTTATTATAAACTGCTAAGATGTTGGTATGGCCATTGATAACTTCTTTCACCATCGTGTGACATCAGTTTTTGAGACCTGCGTTTTAGCAAGTCAAATTCAAACTAATATGTCACCTTTTACACATTAAACAAACATTTTAGTAGATATACTTGTCCAGATCTGTGATACTGGAAATGAGCTGTATTAGAGAGTGAAGACAGTATAGTTTGTGTTGTGCAGTAAGACATGAGTGATTTTGTAGTTTTTAGGGTAAAAATTATTTGGCCCTGGAAATATTTTGCTCTTGAAAATATTTAATGGTATTCTAACAGATGAGTGCATTCCAAGGTTGAAGAGTTACTGAAGTGATGTTCCGGAAGACCTGGCTTCTTGCATCTTATTTGCATTTAATATATTCAGCACTGGCTAGGCAACGCTGGACAGGCTTTGCTGCCCGTCTCCAAACTGTCATGTCACAGCAGCATTGCTGCTGAGCTAGCGTATAGCTGTTGTCAGCAGAGTACCTTTTGCTGAAAATATTCTGAGAATAAAGATGTAGAAGTAGTTTGATTCGTAATGTAGGTTGCATGTCTTCTAAGGGAGCATATCTTTCATTCCCAGCTTTATTCTTGCACAGTGTGTTTCATTCTTGTTTCCTGCACCTTGTTATTGTCAAGTGGTCTTGCAGTTGTGTACACAGGTACTCACAGGCTTACTCCCCCCACTGCAGAAGACAGTCTTTTCTCTCCCATATTGGTGTCTTTGTGCACAAATTGTCAGGTATATCCTTTTTTCTAGATGGATTTCTTTGCAGCCGCTTCAACTCTGATGTGATTTTTCTCCTGACTCTCACTAAACATATCTGTACGCACTGACCAAAAGGTTTGGAAAAACAACTGTCTCAAACCTGTCCTTTAAAGAATGTTAAGTGTGCCACCAGGACATTGAGGGGCATCATCCTTTTGGTCAGAAGGAACCTTTGTAACTCAGCTGTGTTCAGCCCTATTATATTTCTTGCTGCTGAAGCTTTTTTTTTTTTTTTTTCTTTAAGAAACATTTTATTTAGGTAGATATTTTGGGGAAAAATGAGGGTGTAGGGCCGTTCCTAATACACTGTTTTGGTTTGGTTTGGTTTTTTTTGGCACCACTAACAAAGCCTGTGTAGAAAGCTTTGCATATCAAGGGGAGGGGGAGAAGACCTGCATCCTGTCTTGTGGATGTCAAAGTAGGCATTTCTGCAGAAGCAGTTGTACAGTATTTAATCTGATTCCCTTGCTGCTAGAATCATAATGTGGTGCTGTGTTGCTTTTTCTAAAAAAAGTGCAAGTTATGTCTCAGATTTGAATTACACTTCTGTGTGTGTTTAAAGAACAATCTTTTTCTAGAAGTAGAGTTTAGGTATTTATTTGTAACATCTGATTTGGGCTGTGCAGAGAAAGTGCACAGATGCCATTGCCTTGTGGCTGAAGCTGAAATTTCAAAAGTTTAAAAAAAAATATTCCCTGTCCCTGTGAGGGCAGATTTATTAATTGAGGTTGATGTTTCTTTTATAGGGGTAAAATACGCATTCAGCAGTTAATGGGCAGGGGAAGAGGGGGTAGTTTTCTCCTGAACTCTCCCCATGAACCCCTTTTTATCCTCATCCTTTGTCATTTTGTCCTCTTCAAACCGTACCTCTGAAGCAGAAGCCTTATGTCCTTCTGCTGCACACTGTGTAGCTGGTTATGTGATCAGCACAGCTCGTCCTCTCACCAAGCAGGAACCTCTCTCTGCTGATGCTTGCTTGAACAGACGATGGTCTCTTTGACAATAGTTCAATTTGTTAGAGAGGGTTATCGAATGCCATCTATTTTGGACGTGTTAAGAGAACATTCTGAAGGAAAATTGTTGTTGTAGATTTCTTTCTAATTTTGCTGTCGAGGGAAGGTCAGTGTTGTATAACTAGGAGTTGCATTAATGCAGTGTTCTTTATCTCTGAATGTGCTTAGTCTGAAGCAGAAAATCAATAAGTCTTTTCAGCCTTTGACTCCCTGAAGAAAGATTTTACTGCCTCATGTGGTGCTGTAGAGGACCCTAGTTTGCTTTGTGTGATCAGTTTGTCCTGAATGGCAATTCCTTTTAGCTTCTTAATGGGAAAATGATTTTTTTTTTTTTTTTTAAATAAGATCCGAAATGCTTGAAAATCAAAGTATGAAACTGTTATCTCAATAGGCACTTTCTACATCCTGGGCTACTGTCACTTCAGTGCATACAGAAAAATGAATATGTTTCTATTAGAATTTTCTGTTCTTCCCCATGAGAAAGTATCAGTAGATGACACTTCACCGGGACACGGGTTTCTCTCCATTGGTAGGTATTGAAATTGTGATAGACCTTTTGAAGGCCTTTAGCATCTCTTTAAGCTAGTTCTTGTATCCTGTTGCTGTCTCAAGTGTTGTAAAATATCACAGCAGATATAAATCAGTATGCGTGATGGTTTTGCATTACCTTTGTTTTAGAGATTTCTTGAATTCCTAATTAATTGTACTTTTGCCTGCAGATCTGTATTTGAGTATAGAAGTTAATGAGCTAGCTTGTGTTTGAACAGCCTCTTCTTTTATGGTGTGCTTTAGTTTGCAGAGTAATCACACTGTAAGCACACATTAACAGGTACTGAGAAAGTGAAACTTTTATCTAGAAATTAACATTGTTTCATTCAAAATGCTGGGGACTTCTAAAGTGGTGTGGGGCACAGCTGACAGCCAGTCTTGTTCCTCGGAGCTTTAGAACTGCTTGCTTATGTGATTTTTTTTATTTTTATTTTTTTATGTCTAGATGTTAGGTTGGGAAGGAAATCTTCAGAGCTTGCATCATGGGTAGAGTTGCAGGCTGCCAAAGCTGTTACCTTGTTGGCGCTTGCAGAAAGAGGTTCACTGTTGTTGCATTCCTGAGCCTGTCTTGACCTGCGGCTTCTCAGACCTAATATCCTCTGATTTGCACAAATAATATCCTGAAGTTTAATGGAATATTTGTGGTTTATTTTTCATAGATGTACCCTCTAGGCTTGTTTTAAACCTTGTAGGTTTGTGTGCTGCATTAAAGAAACTGCTAAAATCAGGCATCCATTAAGTAGCACAAGGTCAGTATGAAGACATGTAATGATTATAGGTAAGATGTTTCTCAAGTGGCCTGAGCAGATCCATCTAAGCAGTTCTGTCTAAAGGCCTGACAGGGCTGTATCTTTCTTCCTTTGACTTTTGTCCTTCTCCCCACCCCTCCCAAACACACTGCACATTCCTGCCTCATCCTTCATACTGGCACTAGCACATGTAACAATGCAGTCACCCAGATCAGCTCTGCAATTTAACTGAAAGGTTCTGCCCTAACCATTTTGCTGCATTGCTTTTCACTGGAGCCAGAGAGGTGGGTTAGCAATGCTGCTAAGGCAGGCAAGAAGGTGATTCAGCATCCCGGCTAAGGCAAGAAAAAGGAGGGCATTTCAATGAGCTTAAGCTCATTGTGAAACTGTCTGTTTACCTCTGAATTTTATTCCCCTGAAGATGTTTATTCAAAGGAAGCACTCTTCAAAGCCCCTCACTGAACCTCATCTCAAGGTTTGTAAGAGTTTAATAGGTATGGCAACTGGGGAAGACCCTTGAAAAAAAAGTCTGTTATTTTCTTTTGGGTTTCTGATCATTGGTTTTGCAACTAACAGTTGGTTCAAAGTTTTTCTAGGGTTTCAGTTGCATAGGGAGCCTCCCTGTCTTTGGAGGCATGGAAAGGATCACGGGGATGCATAATGATATGACCGAGTCACTCCCTTTGCTTCATTCCTTGCTTTCTGGTCTAAGGACACCCCCTCCTGCTGTTCCAGAGTACTTTTAGGGTTCAGCTTTCACTCAAAAACTTCTGGGCGGATGTGTTGCTGGAAAAGTTATTTGGGGATTTGAACTGGAAAAATTAAGTGTGTGAAAGAGTAGGTGCAGCATGCTGGCAATTTGGTTTGGCCAGAGCTTTGGTGTGGTGTGTGAGATTGCCTGTATTCGTATGTCCATATCCTCGTCAAATCAAGTATAGGGTGAGGACACGCTTATTTAGAGAGCCCGATAAATGCGGGCATGGCTTCAGGTACTCTTCCTATGCAAGGTGAGTTTTGAAATGTTATATATGATGGTCATGAAGAAGAGAATTAGTAATGCTTCGAGATAGTAATTTAGTTTTAATATGTATTTGTCTAATGACCTACTGCTACCTCGAACCAAAATTAACAGCCCTACTTTATACTAGTGTTTGATGTAAATCCGTCCCCACCACATTTCCATTTCCATTCCGCTGAAGGTACAAAGAAGGTTCCAAATTAGTCCAATATCTTATGTAACTGGACAGTGCTTTCTGGGTAGTAACTATTTTTTTTTTTTTTTAATGTTTCCAGGGATTTTCTTCCACGAGGTTCTGGAATCGTAACAAGACGACCATTGGTCTTGCAACTCATCACTGCCAAAACAGGTAACTCCTCTCTCTTTTTGGTTCAATGCCTGGATAAAGTGCTGATGTGCTTCAGGTGAAGAAAGGTGCAACTAGACTGGAACAAAGGCTCACTGCTTCAAAACTGTATGCTCAAGACCAACTAATCTTATTGTCCTAGCTGGGAAAACAGTAAAATCTAAATCCTAGAGTACATAGTAAATTTAATCCATGATCAAACTTGTAGCAGTGCAGAAACGTTATTACATACAAAGTGTTTTAGAAATTAGCTTAGATTTATTAATTTCTTGATGAGCTTTACAGTTGTATTAGTTAACACACCAAAATTGCTGTACTTCTCCCTTTAACTCTTGCTCCAGTGCACAGAGATTTGATTTCACACAGCTTGTTTTCATGACTTGTCTTTTTTGGTTGGGCTCACTGCACTAAGTAGAGCAGAAGGTAGACTGGGAGTGAACAAGGCTTCTGTGTATTTGTTTGGTGAAAAATAAAAATACAGTATGTGTATACCACTGACGTATTGAGATCTTTCATCAGAACTCACCACTTTGTACTCTTCTAAGAGGCACTTAATCTACAGTTGTGTAGCTCAGTTCCCTAGCATATATAAAAGGAGCTACCATTTTCCATCATTCACATTGTTGTTGTTGTTGCTTCTAAACCAATGTAAGCAACAAAATCACTGGTTTACTATTGACTTCTACTTAAAATAGTAAAAAGAAATGAAATAACATCCAAAACAGCATTTCAAAATAAAAAGTGCTCTTTAAATTATGGAACATGATGAAACTGCCCATAGAACTTTAGTCTGTCCCGATGTGTGAGGTGTAATTAAGTTTTTGTATGCATTTTTTTCCTAAAAGGTCTTTTTGTTGTTCAGTGGGAAGGTAGCCTTCAGTCTGCCTAGGCTCCAGTTTTTCTTCTGAATTACTGCTTGTAAAGCACGTTCATATACTCAGTGCCTCTATGAAATAGAGTGTTTGTACTGTGGAAGAGAAAGGAAAAACTGTGGAATCCAGTATTTCTGTATGCTCAGCTTAGAAACTTTAGGATTTTCAAGTGTGTAATATGCTTATAGTGCTTTATATGTTAAAAGATCAAGTTCGTTTTAGTTAGAGATATGAACACTTGCCGTTTTGGCATATCTGGCTTTTGATCTCTGACAGAGCATGCAGAAATGCATGAATAAGGCCTAGCTATGGAGAATCTTCATCTAATTTTCCCAGCACCATGTAAGAGCAGAAGAAAGAAAAGAATCAAGCTCTGTGCTGGCATTCCTAACAAAATGACTGTGGTGGGTTGACCCTGGCTGGATGCCAGGTGCCCACCAAAGCCGCTCTATCACTCCCCTCCTCAGCTGGGCAGGGGAGAGAAAATATAACGAAAGGCTCGTGGGTTGAGATAAGGGCAGGGAGAGATCGTTCACCAATTACCGTCATGGGCAAAACAGACTCGACTTGGGGAAGATTAATTTAATTTGTTAACAATCAAATCAGAGTAAGATAATGAGAAAATAAAAACTAAATCTTAAAACACCTTCCCCCACCCCTCCCTTCTTCACAGGCTCAACTTCACTCCCGATTTTTCTCTACCTCCTCCCCGCTGAGTGGTGCAGGGGGATGGGGAATGGGGGTTGCGGTCAGTTCATCAGACATTGTCTCTGCTGTCCCTTCCTCCTCAGGGGGAGGACTCCTCACACTCTTCCCCTGCTCCAGTGTGGGGTCCCTCCCATGGGGGACAGTCCTCCACGAACTTCTCCATTGTGAGTCCTTCCCATGGGCTGCAGTTCTTCACAAACTGCTCCAGCATGGGTCCCTTCCACAGGGTGCAGTCCTTCAGGAACAGACTGCTCCAGCGTGGGTCCCCCACAGGGTCGCAAGTCCTGCCAGCAAACCTGCTCCAGCATAGGCTCCCCTCGCCATGGGTCCTCAGGCCCTGGCTTTGGCCTGTTCC